TACCATAATTACCATAATTACCATATTTACAATACTACCATTACTATAATATACTTCAACATTACTACTACGCTAAAACTGTACTTAAAAAGTAGTTAATATATATATATATATATATATATATATATATATATATATATATATATATATATACGATGTATATATAATATATAAGTATATATACCTACAAACATATGGTGGTGAATATTTAAAAGGGCTTAAGTATGTTTTTATGTTTGCGGGTCCGTTGTTTAACAATAAAAGAATGTTTTTGCTTTTGTTGTTGTTGTTGATGTTGTTGTTGATGTTGTGCTGTTGATGATGTTGTTGTTGATGTTGTTGTTGTTGTTGATGTTGTTGTTGTTGTTGATGATGTGGTTATTGTTGATGATGTTGATGTTGTTGCTGCGGATGTTGTTGTTGATGTTGTTGTTGACGTTGTAGACAAAAATGTTGTCAATGAATTTCGCTAAAGATGATAACACCAATTCAAATGAGACGATGGAATTTTTTTCAATATAACTTTTCTCCTCCCACGGGTCACTAACCCGTGAACGACATTTACAATTACGTCACTGACATTAATAACATTCATAACAACAACAACAACATTAACAAAGACACAAAAACGTGATTCAAATTTCGTTTAAATTCTTTTTCATTGCTCATTCCCATCTTAGTAAGTGTTCCTTTTAATAATTGCTAAATTTTGATTAATTGAAAAAGTTAATTGAAATGATTATTATCATTATTATTATTATTAATTTTTATTATTGTTACTATCATTATTTTTATTTTATTATTGCTCTAGTAGTAGTAGTAGTAGCTGCAGCAGCAGCAGTAGCAGCTGTAGTAGTGGAAGACGAGAAAGTTAATTAATTTTTTGAATAAGCGAAAAAAATTAATATGATGATTAAAGCCATAAACGTTCGGCGATGTTGGCCGTTCAATCTTGACATTTTTTGTCAGAATGAACGAAAGAATGAATGAATGAGAAAGTGAAAGAAAAATGAATAAAAGATTTAATGATTGTATTATACTAATGAATGAATGAATTAATAAATGGAGGATGGATTGACGGAATGATTGAAAGATGAAAAAACACAATGAACAAATGAAAGTTAGACGATACGAATTAACGAAGGAACGAATGAATGACCAAATGAATAAATAAACAAAATAGGGATGAACAAAGGGATGAACGAACTAAAAAATTAATGAAAGAAAGAACAAACGAAAAGATGGGTGAATGGAAACAAACATTATGGCGTCCGTATGAAAGGAAGCATGTGTTTGTTCCATAGCAAAGCTTCCCCTTATGAATGCCTGTCTACTTACGTTTTGTTTTTGTATCCTTTGTATATTTTTCGTTTGTATGTTTGTTTGTATGTATGTTTCTGCGTTGGTTTCTATGTCTGTGTAAGTATTTGTATGTATGTATATATGTCTGCGTTAGTATTTTTTCAATTAAAACTTTAATTTTTGAAATTTCTTTGATGTTTTCGCCCAATTGTTTCAAAACGTTTTTTTTATCCGAAGAAAGATTCTGAAAATTTTTTTCCTCAACGATCGAATTTTTATTCATTTTTCCATCTTCACTGCGTAAAACATAAAACGAACATGCATAACAAATAAGATTAATAAAAAATTATAACAGAATAATATCATAAAAATATAAATAATAATTATTATTATTATTTCTAGTTGGTAGCGCCATACACCTCAGAAATTAATGATCTTGTTACATTTAAACCTAACAAACTGTTAAACTAATAAGGTTAGATTGTTATAATTTAAAAGTTATTATTAAATGTTAATGGAAATGTGATTCGTTCGTTCATTTACGTTGGTTTACATGTGCAATATAAGACAATAATTATATTTAATACGCTGTTTATTAATTTATTTATTAGATTATTTAATTATAAATATACGCAAATTTTTCATTTTTTAACGGAAGAAAGATTTTCTCACGTGAAGTTATTTTCGCCGACCGGCAAAAATACCTTCTGGTAAGAATAAACACAATTATTTATCAAAAATGTTTCTCTTATTCATCATAAGTACACAAAAATACATTCAAAATACAAAAAGATACAAGAAAATACAAAAAAAAATACAAAAAATACAAGTAATAAATAAAGCAATTAAGATCATTCAGCATTACATTGATATTAATAGCCAGTGCGCATAAAAAAATCATTCATTCGTGTGTTTGTGTGTGCGTGTGTGTGTTTGTCTGTGTGTCTGTACGTGTGTGTGTTTGCATGTATGTGTGTCTGTCTAGCTATAATTAAAATACATAGATGGAATGTTGTATAACCATGTTTTACGTACGGAAAATAATTTACAGACTGCTTTTCAGTGTACATACATGTTTATGAATATGCATGTGTAACGTTTAAGTATGTGTGTATGTATGTGTGTATGTATGTGTGTATGTATATTTGTGTATTATTCTATGAATATTATATATATTTACAGTGGTGTGTTGAGTTAAGATAGGATTATCCACATTAATAGATTAATCAGAAGAAGGGCTACAAAATGGAAAACATTGACCTTCTAGCTGCATCGATGTTTTTCTGATTTTGTATGTAATTTTGTGTATACACTACACATATCTGCATGTACACATACATTTTATAGGTGTATTTATATAATATATAATTTTGACCTAAATAGCAAAGACGTACGTACGTACGTGCAAATATACGTACCTACATACAAACATACATACAAACATACATACATACATACATACATACATACAAACAAACATACATAAATACATACACATATAGACATACACACAAACACAAATTATGCATGCATGTATGCATTCATACATCAAAAACATTCACTCATGCTCTGGGATGCTAATTCCCAGATGTACATGGAAAAATAATATTTTAAAGCAAATTATTATTATTGTTATTATTGTTGATGTTATTATTATTATTATTGTTATTATTGTTACCATCATTATAATTAATAATAAATTCATTTCTATGCTAATACTTCCTATTGTTGTTAAAAAACAAAATATATTATACCTGTGTTTTTTGTGTGTATGTATCTGTGTTTTTTGTATGTATGTATGTATCTGTATCTAATAATTTGTAGAGCGCCCCTACTGAATAATTTTAGAAGCGTTAACTTCACTCGAGAATGTCAAAACAAATGATGCTTCAAACTTTTCTTGAAAACATGTGGGCTCATGTTGTTGAATTTTTTCAATTTACAAGTAGTGAGTTCCAGATCTTGGCAGACGAAACAGAAAATCTTCTCTCCCCAAAACGAAGCGAATTGAATCTAGGAAGCATAAGAAGATCATTATCGCAGGATCTCAGTCGACTCCGGTTGGCAATTTCTGAAACTAACTGTAGTCGTTCCCTCCGATAAGTTGGAGCGTCACCAGCGAGACAATCCCTGACTAGGAGAGCTAGTTTGAAAAATGTTTCTTTCTGACATGCCGAGCCAGTGTAAATCATCCCTGATGTATGATGAAATTGAATCGAATTTCGAAAAAACAACATATATATATAAATATATATATAAATATATATATAAATATATATATAAATATATATATAAATATATATATAAATATATATATAAATATATATATAAATATATATATATATATATATATATATATGTATATATATATATATATATATATATATATATATATATATATATATATATATATATATATATATATATATATATATATATATATATATATATATATATATATATATATATATATATATAG